TTCGTTAGGCATCTTCAATAAGTCCTGTTATTCACTTTAAAACTATTTGTCAATTCTTTTAATTCTTTTTAAACTTTTACTTTATTTTTCTATCTATTTCTATTCTTTATTGATAATATTTAGTTAGTTTGCGTACAAGCTAACACAGGAGACCTTTAAAACCTTTAGTGAACCCCATTAATTGTAATTCATTTAGTCTTTGTTCTTTCACTGTTATGTTACTTTGTTAATTCATTAATTTCAACAATTTTTGAATTAACGAGAACAATACTCATTATGTATTTTTTGTTCAGTTTATTATAAAAATTATTTGTAGTTAGGTTTTTTAACATCAATTTTAATAATAAAAGTGAGATTTTCAGCACTTGAAATATCACGTGTATTGTTTTTGATTGGTTGGATTCCATCATGTAAAATTACATGATCATTTTTCATGGCATATATTAACTTATTTGGAAATGATAATCCTAAAAAAATTCAGCAATGGCGCAGTATTTGATGCGACTAAGCGAGGCGCACCATACTCTTTTTTTCTTAGCACAAATAAATATCTGCGATATTTTTCTCGATTTTGATTCATGTTCCGTTCGGGCTGAGTGGTTTTTTTTCGCCGTAACAGATCCATTGAGAAATCATTGAACAAGTAATCGTCAAGAATTCTATATTTGACACTTGGAATGGAAAATAATGTTTATAGAAACTACTTCCTTTACGAATTATTGCATTAGGATACTATTAATTGCATTATAACGATAATGTATATAAAATAAGTAATTGGTAATATTTCTTAAGAGAGTAAGATCTTTTTATTTTCGGAATATAAACAGCTAAGAAATAGCAATACACTACACCAGTTTCCGAATTACTAAGTAAGAATTCTTGGCATCTCGATGATGCTGGTTAAAAGAGAAAAGCAATGCACACCGTCCTTCTGTTTTGAATAACTAATAAAACAATGATGATAACAATAATACAATACGTTTCAAGCTCAGAAAAAGTCTTAGCCCACTTTCTTTTAAATTAAATATATGTGCAATTAATCAGTAGCAAAAAACACGCCAGACAACTGATTGATAATGTTCTGAATTTAGAATTGGTGAATTCGTCGTCCCGAAAGGATCAAGGCTCGAGAAACATTCGGTATGAAGATCATATACACAAAGTACAGCATGAAAGAAAAAAATAAAAAAATGATGATAATAATTTGCTAATTATTCCACCCCCGCTTCCTTCCGGAAGAATCAGTCACTAACTCATTGTTTCTACAATACAATCTTTTTCTTCGTGAAAACCTGCAAGGTCATGAATGAATTCTATTATATGAGACGATGCAGCTTCTTGTCACCAGGTGTAAAAATAATACATGTATAAGGCTTTTTAATACTTGCATACATGTTTTGGTAATATTAATTATTATGTAATCAATTGGCAAAAAAATTTATACGATGATTCTGAAGATAAATATATGTGCGTGTATGCATTCATTCATTCATTGTATATGCAAACGTGTTTTTATTAAGAATATTATCATTAGAAATATTTCACAGATACCAGATCTACGATAACAAAACAGAGAACGAATAGACGAACAAAAACAGGACAGAGGCAAAAAACCAATTATTTGATAAAAACCCGAAGTAGATTAGCTACCCGTCCAAAATCATTACCCACAACCCGTTATACAATTAAAATACACTAATTAAATAAAAAAGAAGAAAGGAAGACTATTTACGGAAAATATTAAAAGGGGGAAGAAAATAAAATAAATAATAACAGTAAAAAACTTTGTATATAATTTTGATATACTGGGGTGAGAGGAAGATAATTGATTAATACCACGCATATAACGCAATGAGTGAATTTAGGGGGAGACTATGTAAAGATATTGCATGCGTGTTTTTTTCAAGTAAAAAAAAAATGCAATGAATAAAATTTATAAAATTTAGGTAAGAACATGTAAAGAGATTGCATGCGTGTTTTTTAATATGGGGATAGTATTATATGAAGGGGACAGTATAGTATGATGGAGGTAGTATTGTATGGAGGTAGTATTGTATGGAGGTAGTATTATATGGAGGTAGTATTATATGTGGATGTGATGGTGGTAATAATAATAATAATCATTGTGTTTGTTGAAATCGAACATAAATTCAACGAAAATACCAAGAATACAATATTACATATAAATTAGAAAATGAGTAATAAACATTCAAACGTAATGAATAATATTCAGTCAGTGAAAAAAAGCGGTTATTTAAAGTTGTTTGTGATCGAGTGATAATTTCTAATAATATTCTATAATTACTTAATATAATACATCCATTGCAGTCCTCGGATTACCCTGACGTTATTATATATCTGGCGGAACCATTGACATCGTTATGGATTGATGATGATTATTTGTGAATGCATTATTCGTGTTGTGAATTAATTCACCTGTTGATGTAGCAACATCACCGCCGTGTTCACCAAATTCTACCTGTAATAGTTCCGGATTACCATATTGTTCGCGAAGTGAGTTGGGGACCATCGGTAGAGAAGAATTTGACGACGATGTGATGTTATCAGAAATATATTTTATTGACGGATTATTTGGATTATTGCTATTTGCAAACAATATTGATCCGGCTGGTTGTGCTCGGTGAATTAAATGAGAAGGTAGAAATTTATTTGTACTAGCTGATGGTGGATATTGAAGTCCCCGATGCGATTTTATATCCTGACGCTGCTGCTGAAGCAGAAGTTGTTGTTGTTGATAAAATGTCGCCAGTTGATCATTCGCATTTGATGATGCACTATTGTTGTTGTTGTTGTTGTTCATTATTAAATATCCTTCCTGATTATTAGGAAGATGATGTGGTGGAATATGAAATTGATTATAATTATTATACTGATTATAATATTGTTGTATATTCAAATGACTCTGTGATTGCTGTCCGAATCGCAATTGTTGCGTTATAAATGGTTGCTGTTCATTAGAAGAGAATCTTCGTTGTTTTTTCGGCAAAGAACTACCACCACCACCACCACCACTAATGATTTGTCTTGTATTAAATACAGGTGGTGGTGGTGGTGGATATTGTCCATTATGATTTGAAGATAATGAAGTCACTACTGTTCCATTCATCATTGGATTGTGGAGTGATCGTGATGGTACAGTTGAATTTAATGACATCCGTTTACTCATCACGCCCATACTTCCCGCTCCTATTTGAATTCCTTTACCGGGTTTCTGGACTTTACCAGCTGCTGCTGGTCCACCTCGATTTCTCTTCTTTATCACGTTAGTTTTAAGACTCAATGGTCGCACAACACCATGTAGTTTCAGAAATAGTCCACATGCATTACATAATGGCTGTCCTTCTGGATTACGTCGCCATAATGGAGTTGTTTGTGTGTTACAATTGGTACATGTTGTTGGATTACTTGATTTATGTGCACCTGTCAGACTATGATTATTACTGTTGTTGTTGTTGTTACTGTTGTTGTTGTGGTGGTGGTTGTTGTTGTTGTTGTTGTTGTTGTTATTGTCATCAGCAGTATTAATATTGGCGTCGTTATTATTATCATCATCATTATTACCATCATTATTGTCATCATCTTCGTTGTCTTCATTATGATAACTGTTGGAATCATCATCGTTATTATCATTGTTAATTCCGTCTTTTGATATTGAGCAATCTCCGCGTGAAGGTGATCTCGGTCGCTTTCCTCCTAGTAACGATGACGAATCTTTATCACATGCATTACTACCTATTAATAACAGTGGTGGAGATGATGCTAATACACTAAAATTGTTTTTTGCACTTGTACTCTTAATGATAGTACAACTGAGTGATGTAGAATCACCATTTAAATGTCTTTTTTGAAAATCGTCATTATTATTATTATTATTCATCTCTCTTTCACAATCTTCACCGAATTCTCCTGTTCTCTCATCACTAATGTTGTTGTCATCATCACCGTCATCATCGTCATCGTCATTGTCATCGTCGTTGCCATCATCATCATTGATGATGGTAGTCGTAGCTGCTGCTGCTACATTAATGTTATTAGCATTCATTCGACTCCAATCACCAGCAACAGTGCCAGTACGTGATTCCGATGGTGTTATCGCATTATATGGAACTGTATTTGTTGTTGTCGGTGATGAGGTAAGTAATTGAGTTGGATTAATATGAGAAAATTGTGATGGTGAATGCGATGTTTCTTCATTTCCACCTATATAATTATAGGGTATTAAATCGTAAAATGAAGCTTGCGAGTTATGTGGACCGTTTATAGTTTCTCCTGTAGTCGTAGGATACGGAAATAAGAAGAAACCTGATCCATCCGGTGTACTGCTGGCTGATGAATGAATAGGTATATCTATATTTAATATTAATATCTTTAATTAGTTGATCAATTTATTGTTTATTAATTAATAAACAAATACGGAAATAAAACATACTATTTTTTATACCACCAGTAGCAGCTCCGTAAGTTTCTATTGTATGTTGATCATATGAAGAATTACAGGAAGGTAATGTATACTGTGTATTTGTCGACGCTGTTGTCGCGAGAGAAGAAGACATTGAATCCGGCAAATCAAGATCTGACTCGTCAGTGTCTGTCGGTATTGTAATACTCAATTGAGAAATTGGAAATTGTGGCCGATGTCCCTTTTATTGCGAAAATAAGAAAATTTAATTTTTTTTTTAAAAACTAATTAACCTAAAAAGAATTTACCTGTCTATAAGACATTTGATTACCACCGCTATTTGGGAATGGCATTATAAAAGGATGATGTTGAATATTTGCGGTATTCGTACGCGTAAAAAGTCCAGCAGTATTTCTTCCATTCATTATACTTTGTGAAGTTGCTGATGCAGTACCAATACCAACACCAAAATGTGAAGGTGACGATGCTTCTAGATTCAATTCATGTGAACTTGAAGCATCATCAAAACAAGACGAAGTTGTTAGCATTGAAGTTGATGTTGGTATTGGGATTGGGATAGCTGCCGATGTAGTAGAAGATAAAACGGGTGAAGTCGATGAAGTTGAAAGATTATCTTCGTTAAGACTTGCAATTGAGTCTGATGGAGATGCTACCATATGTGGGTTATGGTCATCTGTGAAGATCATTACTTCGAATTCGTGGTCATCTGTATTATTATCATCGTTATTTGTTATTTTGTAATTGTTATTATGATAAGTCAAGGCAAGACTGTTATTATTTTTTTTATTACTTGTTTCTTCTTCTGAATCCAGCATTTCAATATCATTACCATTTCGATACACGTTATAAATATTTCTATTAAACAAAATAAAATTAATTAATGTGCATATTTACATACATGCGACGAAAAAAAAAAAACATACTCTGTTTTCGAAGTTCCATATGTTTGTTGTTGTGAGGTATTATTAGGCAGAGAGTAAGTAGTGGTAAGACTCGATAGTGAACTCCTTGTATTACTATTCTGTTTTGTATAAATCTCGCAGTGTTGTTTTTTCTTCCACATGTCACGTTTTTTCCGTGAAATAAACATAGCTCTCCACATTAAATTCTCTAGTCTCTCACCGTCTGGTAAGATACCCTTTGCTTTCGTATAGAGTCGCCAGACGGTTGCCGCCAGCGGGTCCTTTTCTGCCTCGGTTTCGAGTTTTTCTTTATCGTCTAGTGAAGAATCTGGGTTGTGCGTTTTCGATCTTGGTGAAAAGTATGATTCTTCGAGTACTAGATTGTGTGGCAGTGCTAAGTTTTTGTATGTTGTTTCTTTTAGCAACATTTTTCCTTTTATTTTTACAGTGAGAAATGTGAGTTGGTACGTTTACAAGGCTCTTTTTTTTACTAAAGAACAGGAGTATTATCGCAAAACTAGCGTTAGAACGTAAAATAAAAAATTTGGCTGTTGAGATATTTTTTTATGATTATAATGGATGTATGTATATGTGCGAGGATGGATTGATTTTTTTCGTCTATCGGTTCCTATTTTATTGTTCGTCTTCTTTGTTGTTGCTATGTGAGAATATGTGTGTGCATACGCAAAAGAAAAGGGGTGGATGGAATAATCAATAAATATTAATTGAGAGCAACGACTAGTTTTTTTTTGGTTCTGTTTCTGTTATAGTATAAATATTATATATGTGTATACACATATATAAAAAATATGATAGGATAAAATATCAATTTGTTGTTATTCGCAAACAGAGGAAGCTTCTTGAAGTAGACCATGAAAAAATAAAAATTTGATTTTTATGCTAATTAATACAATTATTATTGATATAATTGATATTATAGTATAAATTCTTCTATCATATTCAAGGAGGGAGAGAGAGCAATGAAAAGTTTTGCTTGAGTGCGAGTGAAAATTGTACAATAACGATAGATTTTTTGTATATATATCTTTTATAGTGTGCGTTTGTACTTGTGTAATTCGTTGAAGACTTAATTCTTCATGATAGTCACGTGACAATTAAGAATTAAAAATTATCGGAAGATTAATATTTATATAATATAAATATATATATATATAGTATAAATATAAATATATATATATATATATATATATATATATATATATATATATATATAGAGTATAAATATATATATATAGTATAAATATATGTATATATAGTACAAATAATATATTGTTACTTTAAAATAATATATATAAATAATTGTGTAAATGCTATTTAAAACTCAAAACTCCGAAAAAAAACCGGTGAATCTAGGATATATCTGACCGTCAACGATTCCAAGAAATTATTGGTTTGGGCCACTTTGATACTGACATACTAACGTTTTGGAATAGGTCCGCAGAGAGGATTTAGGGATAGTAAATAACAACCAGCAAAGAGATTTATTATTCCATAAAAAAGGGAACTAATAAATAGAATAAAGGAGTGGAATTACTGCTATGAGAAGCGTTCATGTGATCGATCATGTCACTTTACGGCATGTACAAAAAGAAACAAAATGTTAACATAATATGCATATTTGCATTTGAGAGTTCGATAAACTGAGAGCGAGATTAGCGAGAATTCTTTCTCTCGCTCTATAATCATTATGCATGATAATGAGATTCCTAAATTTTTATGTAGAATTAACGCTAACTAATCTAACTACCTACCTACAAATATCTTCAGATCCTCAAAATCCAAGTAATGGTGTTTTTCCACTGTGCATTATGTTATGCATATGTTTGTGTGTTTTGCGTAACATGACCAAAGACAATGCATATTCTGTTTACTATATGCCGCGAGAGCAAAAACATTATACTTCTATATTCTACTGTTCAAAGTCTATTTTAATCCATGTCTGTTTTTGATTTCTATGATAAAATTCGAATGAGACAATAAATAAATAAGTATTTTTAGGCAGTGTATTTGATTATATAATATATTGTAAATAGATATAAAACCATTGCCTAACTACAATCTAGTAAATAGAAATTAATTAAATTAATTATCTTCAAATTTTTAATTTCAGAAAATGACACATAAACGAGGTGGAAAAACACATAAACAGGGTGGAGCACACACAGCCTTCTCGCTTTCTATGTATTCCTTCTCCGTTCAAGTTTAATTCTAATGTCTGACGAGTAATTCGATTCCGTCAAGGAATAAATCATGTTCTTTTTTTTACAAGACTTCCAAGAATAAATATGTGCTTAGTTATACTAATTTATTTAGCACGCCCCACCAATGTGGTCGCTTGGACATAAATACAGCAATTTGATTGGTCAAAATGCTTGTCCCGACCAATCAAATTGCTGGATTTACGTCCAAGCGACAACACTGCACCCCACATGACCTTATGCACGAAATGTTACGTAATGCATGTTAGAGTTAATAACAACAACACAACAATAATAATAATAATGCTTGCTTGCTTGATGAAGATGGTTTCTTGCAACGATATTAATACATGTTGTGATGATGCTGCTGATGCGGATAATGCTAAAGATGATTATGCATAACAGGTAAAAAACCAAGTTTTGATCAATCAAAAATAAAAGATTAATCAATCAATCAATCAAATCAATCAAATCAAATCAATCAAATGTGTACAATCGTACCCTAATTTGATTACATATTTTGGTACACATTCGTAACATTGGTGTGCAAGAATCGAAATTAACCTCTCATTCATTACTACTTCACGTCGAATCAGGTTTCTTGCTTGTTATCGACAAAAAAAATTATTAAGCTTTTTTCTGTCATTTATAGGGAAATAATAGAAATAACCGTCTTTATTTGTTAAGGGCGTAGTGTTTTTTTTAAAAAACTTGTATCTTTTTTTTATAGGTAACTCGATAGTAAGTGAACCATTTTAGTTTGTTGTTACTCGAAACTTAATTTTGCGTATAGGAAAAGAAGCACAAGCAAGATGTGTATTTGTCTTTTAATTTTAATAAATTAAAAAGGAGTACTATTGCTTAATTAGTTAGCGAACTAACGTTAAATAAAAATTCAACGATCTTCTCAATTTTCACGCAAACATACGTGAGACAACCATTTTCGGAAGAAAGCGGCGAAATAATATCGATATGCATTTAACAGTTACATCCATCTTAATTCCTGAGCAACATTGCACTCCTTCTTCATGCTGTTCATTTGTGCCTCGGATGTCGTTTGCCTCAGGTGTCGATTCACGTGATCATCCTGGCCAACGTTAATCTATTTCACCAGCACTAACCCTAGTAGAACTCCATTCTAATTTGGCTGATCGATACCTGAGGCAAATCGTCACTGAAAATCTTGTAACCAATCACATGTCCGACCATTCAATGTACATTATCAATTCGATCAATCAATCAATCGTTGATTGATGTTGTATCAATCAATAAATCGTTGATTGATGTTGTGTCAACCATACAATTGCAAATATGATGATTTTAGGCTAAGACTTTTTCAGAACATAGAAAAAGAAATACCTTTTTTCTTATTGGTTTTTTTTTCTTTACCCTCCCAACTTAGTTATTTGAAGAGGCAGTGTGCGCATTCCTTTCCCATTTTCCGCATGTTAAGTCGAAAATTCCTAGACACATCGGACCTTTTCGGCGAAAAATCTATTATTTAAAAAACTTATGAAAAAACCCATTGATGTTGTCTATATTGGGATATATACTACTTACTTAGCCTATTTCCATATGAATGGCTAATTTACACAGGGTCAAATTTAAGGTTTATGCTTACCTTTATAGTTTTCTAGTTTTATTATTATACCTGCGGGAAAATAATCATTATTGTCATAATGAAAAAGATATTGTCGAAATCCTGTTGCTGTTCATTCAAAAGATCTCGCAAAAGGCACCCCAGCCGAATGAACTGTAAATCAAAAATGAGAGGAAAAACAAAAATGCACAGTTACGCAATTGCATTTCTCTCACACTATTTATTACACATGATTCTTCCCTAAAGAATCTGAAGTATCTAAAATAGAAAACCATGAAATAAATCATACACGTGATGGTTATATATATACGTATATGTATGCGAGTATGAATCGAAGCAAAGAAGATTGTATATGGGCGGACTCACCAAATCGGGCCAGATCCTAAATTGTTATCAGCCCATTTGCAACAGTCTGTGTGTCCGACAAATTTAATTTTAGAGTTGATTCTCTCAAGGTTTAACGTTAATGTTTTGGGCAAAATCCATTCCCGAATATGAGGAAAAGAACTTCATTATAGGAGAGTCAACTTTCGCTAAATTCGAGATAATCTCAAACACAAAATAGCTACTTTTTTAATAGTCAAATATTAAAGCCAAAAGCTGTGCTACAAAATGTATTTCAATAAGAGGCTGAATTTCGCATACATCGATCCTAAAATTTCAATTTATGCGAATTGAGGGCTCACTTACCATCTTGAACAATGCTACCATAATTTACTGCCCAAGATACCACCCGATATAAAGTACCCACCCCAAATTTTCATAATAGTTTCTTTTTTACTAATTAAGACCCTGCAGTAAAATAAAAATTTTCCCACGTGCAAACGCTAGACACAATAGTCATGTACAACTAGACTATGTGTATGTGTGCATACATGTGCACCAAGAGTACCTTGTGACCACAGAACAATGACGATTGCCTTTTATTTTCACCAAGGATTTTTCATAGCAGAGCTTTGTTAAGAAACGCGTGACTTGGCACTGTAACGTTCTTTTTCAATTTTTGTTGAGCAAGAATAGTTATCGAACAAGGTAATTAAATCTCTTGGAGAAATTGATATATTCTATTTTACACTAATAAATATTGGTAATAATTTTTTTGTTTGTTTGTTAATTTACATTATCTTGCATCAATACATAATGAAATGTATTTTATGCACTTTTACGTTCTAGCGATCTGTCAAAAAGTTTTGACCAACAAAGAAATTGTTATCCAATAAATAAATAAGCTTTATAATTCAGATCAGGCTTCTCTGGACGAATCCTTCAGCGATAAAAATGCAATGAAAAATACGGAATAACTAACAGTAAATTTTGTTGTAGCTTTTTCCGAAGCAAGTTAAACCTGATAAAGGTAATAAGAGAACTTTAGATAATTATTGACTAAGAACTCGCGTTTTTAATTTCCGTGATTTGTTATAAAAAGCATGCATGCAAATCCATGCACAATTTGACAGGATAAGTTTTATTTATCGTCCATTGCATATAAAATATGTGAATGTACGAATTATTAAACAAACTCGCATGGCAGATTTCCATGAGTTATCGAGCCAAGAATCGATCTAGTTTGGTATTTATTATAACTCCTGTTATAGTGACACGCTCGAGA